TCTCTAGATCAATCTCGATGGTGGGTTCTACTCGTTCCCCTTCCATGCCCTCTCTTGCTCTCTCCGTTGTACTCCTTGTGCTGACCATATTAACTTAAAAGCTCTTCTTTGTTATCTTCGGACCCATTGATGTTGTTTTGCGTAGCGACGAATTATACTTTGCTTCGGTAGGTCTTTTTTCAGCTACCGGTACCCTGCTCCGCCTCATTATTTCTATTTACAATTGCTCTTATTTACAATTTTACTATATACACAATCCTATTCTAAGAATATAATCTTTCGAGAGGAAAAAAAAAAAAAATTTTTTTTAAAAAATATACAACGTGGTGAAAACCTTGTTTCAGTTCTCTTTATTAACTTTTCGAGAAACTTTCCTTATTTGTGGTCTCAACCGTACCTGGTTCCAATTAGTCTTGTTCTACCTTAATTCTGTCTTAAAACACTTCTTGTAATTTTACTTCAATTTTTATACTGTCCCAAGACTTCCAATTGCCGTCCCTACTCTTCTTTGTACCGTCCCAGTACTTTCTGGCCGTGTCCCAAGACTCTTGTCCAAGACTACTGTCCCAAGGCTAGTGTCCCAAGACTACTGTCCCAAGATTAGTGTCCCAAGACTAGTGTCCCAAGACTAGTGTCCCAAGACTACTGTCCCAAGACTAGTGTCCCAAGACTACTGTCCCAAGACCCTTGTCCCAAGACCCCTGTCCCAAGACCCTGTCCCAAGACCCTGTCCCAAGACCCTGTCCCAAGACCCTGTCCCAAGACCCTTGTCCCAAGACCTTGTCCCAAGACCTTGTCCCAAGACCCTGTCCCAAGACCTTGTCCCAAGACCCTGTCCCAAGACCTTGTCCCAAGACCCTGTCCCAAGACCCTGTCCCAAGACCCTTGTCCCAAGACCTTGTCCCATGACCCTGTCCCAAGACCTTGTCCCAAGACCCTGTCCCAAGACCTTGTCCCAAGACCCTGTCCCAAGACCCTGTCCCAAGACCCCTGTCCCAAGACCTTGTCCCAAGACCTTGTCCCAAGACCCTGTCCCAAGACCCTTGTCCCAAGACCCTGTCCCAAGACCCTGTCCCAAGACCACTGTCCCAAGACTGTACTGTCCCAAGACTGTCCCCAGACTGCTCTGTCCTAAGACTTCTTCGGCACTGTCCCAAGACTGTTGACAAGTGTCTGGGTGGTGGGACTTCTTTCCTCTTCGTTATGGGGACTTCTTGATTCGCCGTACCTTGTACCACCACTCAAGCTCTACTAAAATTTTCCCAAAGTCCTCTCTTAAAAGCCAAATGCTGACCCCCCTTTTTCTTATTTCTCTTTTAGGCTACCTCTATTTCAATGTTCCAAGTAACTTGCGACCAAAACCTGTGCGCAGGTATCTTGTGATCACCTGTTCGTACAAAATTTTAACACAAATCCTCCCCAAAATGCAACAAAATACTAAGCAAGAAAAAGTAATAAAAACAGAAAGATGAGCCCACCTAAAATTCAAAGGTGACAAATGTCTACCTTCTATCGAAAAAAATGTCTTGTACCTAATTGCCACGCGTTTCCTTCCCCCCTGCTAGCGATCTTATGGGGTATTACAAAAACTGTCTATGTCCCTTCCCCCCTACCAATCCGACCAGGGTACCTTCCTTAACTCGAGTTCAAATTTCGATATCCACCTAATATTACCAACGCGTGTTAATGTCTAATGTAACTAAGTCAACGATGTCGACTAATTAGTTACTCTAATTTCCCCCTTTTTACAATTTACAACCGCCAACCTCTAACTTAACCAGCCCCCCTTCTAACCTCTCCCCTTTTTAGCCCCCCTTCTTAAGCCTAAAATTACCTTAAGCGCCGGGTGCTAAACCTCTCAAGAGAAAACCGTAGACCTGTCTCCAGGCCTGCTCAAGTAAAAACGTTTTTCAAAACCGGGTGATGTCGCTTATCCTATTTTACACTTATCTCCTATAATGTAATGTGGATTTTAACGATACCCGTTCTGCCCAACTTGAGAACTCGAGAATTGCCAAATCCTTCTTGGCTGCTTTCCCACTCGACTGGTCACCTGTTCCAGTCCAGTCTCCAATTGGTTCAGCTCAAGTGCTCCTGAACCACTTTCCCACTCGGCTGGTCACCTCTTCCAGTCAAGTCTCCTATTGGTTCAGCTCAAGTGCTCCTGAACCACTTTCCCACTCGGCTGGTCACCTCTTCCAGTCAAGTCTCCATGTTGTCCAGCTAAGTTCCAAGCTATCTAAAAACCCTTGACAACGCCCCACACTCGGGCTCTTTATTGAGGTTACTGGGTTAAATTGCTAGGTTGATCGAAACGATCAAACTTGTAAAACAGTATGGGTATACTATTTAATTAATATAAAGGTTTGATCCAACTAATCTGGTGTCAAAGTCACTGTCTTTTTTCGTTTTATGGTTTTTGTTTCGCTTTTTGTCTTTTTGCTCGTGTTTTTATCCCCCTAGTTGCCCCCCTTTACTCGGTTAGCTAAGCCTCGTTCGGAGAGCGTACCAGGAAGTTTTCTTGAGTTTTCTTAAAAAGCTATCACGGTACAACCGGAAGGTTTGCACGTTCCTGTCGAACCGTACCGCCGGTACTCTAGAATGGGCATTCAGCCCGAAGCTGTCTCAAGTGGGTTCGACTCCGTAGTCTTGATGTCGTAAACACCCAGGAGCGCCATAAAAACACTATGTAACATTCGTCTACTGCAGTCACACATGAGGCTTAAGAAAAATAGGCCCTATAACCACTGGCTCAAGGGTCAGGGACACCATCTCTTGTGTTTTTCTACCTCAAGAACGGTCGGAGCCAGTTCGGTTCGTTTGTGACATGAGACTACGACCCGTTACAGCTTAAAGGCTACTACTAAAATATCCCCCCACTCTAGAATTAGAAACGTCCCCATACTTAGGTCTCTAGATACCCAAAATACATGAACGCCGTTAAAAACCGGGTTGGAACAATCCGTTAAGTTACTTTTTATTAGACAGTGGAACTTTGATCCATTTCAGATGGATCAACCTAAAACTCGCCTTACCTCAACATAATGATCATAAAACACACTCTAGAAATTTAAATTAGTACTCACATTGTAGCACGCTCAAGAACCAGGAAGTAAATAAGTCGGTAAGCAACTCAAGAATCAATAAAGTAACTAAAATGAGTTTAATGTTAGTCAGTTTCAATAACAAGAACAAGTTTTTACTCTAGACTGTAAGTTCTCGTGAACCATTGGGACACTCTAGCTGTCCACCTTTCCACCGAAGGTTCACTCTGGTCCAGTTAATAATAGTACTCCAATCACAACAATCCAGTTCGTGGGAATGCGCTCGTCTCTGTTTTAGATGGGACAGCTCTACTCTCGATTATTATTGCTACTGAAATTGCGAATAGCAATTTCCCACTGATTTTTCTAGCAACTTTCCCGCGATTGTCACTCGATCGTTCTGACTTCTCTTTTCTGATTGTCAGTTATCGCGAGAAAATCGTGCATGACAGGTTCCATTCGAAATTTTGAAAAACTAAATTTCACTCCAAAATCAAGTGTTTTTTGCTTCTCTCAAGGTCAAACTTCCGAATATGACCGACTGGCACATAAGACACTTAGTGGAAAAAATTAGTGGGAAAGGAGGCTTCGGTGGGGAAGTGGTGGAAAGCAGTACCTTCCCGTGCCACGAATTTGGAGTAATAACAACGTTATCTCGAGGAAGACACGGAAGCGGAGGCTTGGTCCCCCAGAGATTGATATATGGTGAAAGACTGTAGTAAACTATCTTTTTAGCTACTCTGATGCCATAGAACTTTGAATTGACACCGGTATTATTTGATATTTTAGAATATGAGTAGCTAGGAAGAGGAAAAGGTCAATCCATCTCCAATGGATTTAATATAGAACTGTCACCAAAAACATATTGAAATAGGGTATTCGAGCCGTGTTTTTAAAATTAATCACGTAGTCTGAGGATCCGAGACTCAGCTAGGTGGTTGTGTTCGCATGTAAACGAAAGCTGATCAAAAGTCGTTTGACTGATGGCCTAAAAATATTAACTTTTTACTTAGCCCTAAACAGACCAGAAAATCAACTGGCAAGGTCGAGACGGTGAAAAACGAGTAGGATTAAGGTATTTGACGCCTGCCAGTCGTTAATAGGTACTTTTTCTACGCTCCGTCGCTGTGTAGTATTTGGGCGAATGTTACATTTCTTGAATGCTTCCAGAGTTGTTCTGGTTAGAAAGCCTAAATTATTTTGAACTCCTTTTGTGTAGCTGGAATATGCAGCATTTTGTGGTGAGTATGCATTTTGCAGTTTGGAGAGCTGTCTTTTCAATTTCGCTTTCCATGTATTTATCGCATGCTGATGGTGGTCCTAAAACCAATCCAAGGACTCTAAAACCGTCTACCATTGTAATATTTGTGCCTTAGAGATTTAATTAGTGATGGATATAGTTTTCAACCAGTAGCTTTTGAAGTTCAGGCTGCCGCTGGCCCTAGCAGAGATTTTTCTGAATAAGCTTTGTAAGAACTCTTGCACGTGTACCGAGGAACCCAGGGCAGGTGCTTTTAAGCAGAGAATCTCTCTGGCAATACAGATTGCGAATGCCGCTTGCGTACTCGGCACAGAAAATGACAAAACAACTCTTGACGAAATTTTTTATTTGTAACTATATATTAATATAAGTTTTCTCGTGTCTAGTTGCGTGTGCTTATTGAAGAAACGTAACCCGTATCGAGTTTAATTTTTACAACATCAACACCAATCATCTCCTTTTTGTCATTATCCTTTCCTTATCTCGAAAATTTTGAGGATATTGACTGGAAAATGTAATGAAGGAACTCCTGACTGTAACCTCGGTTACTATGATACTTTCGACCTTCTGATTAATTGAAATACAATTGTTTTAAATTATGAAAGTCTACATGAATTATTTCTGAATGAGTCCAGGTTTAATTAGGCTTGCTTTTTCTTTCGTTAATGTGACGTTTTAAATTATAGATAACCAAAATGGTTGCAAAGAAAGGCAAGAAGACTGGTGAAAACCTCAACAGCAAAATCCAGTTGGTTGCAAAGAGTGGAAAATATTGTCTGGGAGAAAAGGCTACAAGAAAGCAGCTCAAGTTTGCTAAAGCCAAACTGGTCATAGTTGCAAACAACATGACGCCTCTGGTCAAATCAGAAATAGAGTTTCTGGCCATGCTGGGTAAAGTAATTGTTCACCATTACGATGGAAACAGTGCAGCACTTGGTACAGCTTTTGGTAAATACTTCCGAGTTGGAGTTGCAACCATTGTTGACCCGGGAGATTCGGATGTCATCAAGACCTTGTCGATGCAGTGAACTTTAAGTTGAATATTCGAACAATTTGGTTGAAGCCTATTAAATGTTTGAATAAAGTTTCCTGTTCAAGAATAGAGTTTTAGAGTTCAGAATAAAATTGAGAAAACTGTAATTAGTCGAGAAGTTCATAATCATAGCGTTGATATCTTCAGATACCATGGATTATCAATCAGCCAAAGTCGCTGCATTGATGGCAGGGTTGGAGGCGAAGGTGACCAGTATTGAAAATGATCAGGAATATCGTGTTGATTCCTCTAATGACGGCTATTCAAATAATAAACAAGAGCACTTGCCCAATACTTTGAACCTACATGGAAATCAGGCTACAGCCAATATTAATCCAATGATCCTCACTAATATTCAGGGATCTCCTTATTTCAAGAAGGATCTGTACGCACTGAAAACTTTCCATGAAGTTGTTGACGAAATTTACTACAAGGTCGGTTTCTTTTGATATGGGTTTTTTGCAGTTGAAAGTATAAATAATATCAGAGAAAAAAATAATAAACGAGAAATGAATTAAGATGGTTTTGACAATTTTAGGTTGATCATCTAGAACCTTGGGAGAGAGGAAGTCGAAAAACTTCGGGGCAAGTAGGAATGTGCGGGGGTGTGAGAGGAGTAGGCGCAGGAGGAGTTGCTTCGACTGCCTACTGTATCATGTTCAAACTTTTTACGATGAGGATAACCCGGCGCCAAGTAAGTTAGTAATTGAGTCTGAAATCACCAAGTGAACCCAGATTATATGAGCTTTTTATTACCCTTGCGATAGATAAGTAAGGGCACTGCTATCGGGTACTAGACTTTTTTCCCGTATATAATTTTGTTCAAAGGACTCATCTGGACTCTTGATGGTACCTTGGTTCATATTGAGTTCAAGTTCATTAGTTTCTCCTGCAAACAAAGCCTGTAGGTGACGAATACGCCCGGGACGGGAAAGGTGCTTAGTTCGAATCTGACCAGGACCTGATTTTTTCAAACGGAAAATTTCTGTTTCAAATAAAATTGTCGGCCCTATATTTGTCTGCTTATGCTTTGTCTGCTTATGCTTATTCGACTAAGTTGCCACAGCTGAGAATTGTTATTTTTGCTGCAAACATTTTTCATTGTAGTTTGTTTTTTTTTCGCCATAATTCGTTTCGTTTTTTATATCGACTTAGTGGCTTCTTTTTGCGTCGTTTGAGGATCGAAAAAAATTTGCGTGCGTGTTATGAGGGCAAATGAGTCTTGAATTTTTTTAGTTTGAATTTTTGTCGTTTTGAAGGGTTACTGCTCAGGTATTTTGGGCTTTTTTACCGCGTGGAAGTTATACATTCAAATTCTTTCAACCATCTGGCGTGAGACGGCCGATGCTTTTGGCTCGAATTCGGCATGGAAATGTGTTTTTGTTAACTAGAGTCCATGTGCTTTTTGGGACTATCGTTCGTCTTTATTTTTGTCAGCTTAGCTCCCGTAGCCCGATTTTTTTTGAAGGTTCAGCTTTCTTCCAAGTTGCTGTAACACTCATGCTTGAAAACAAATAGCCCGGGAGATCGGTTTCACGAGGCCTGTTTTTTTCCTACCCTAAAGTTTTTGGCTAATTACCCTTGCGATAAGCAACGGTATTGCAAGCGGATACTGGACTTTTTTTTCGTAAACAACTTGGTCCACAGGACTCATCTCTTTTGTGTAGTTCTGGACTCATCTCTAGTGGTACCGTCTGAGCGTTCCCGGCATACTACAAATCTTAGTGTATCGGGCCCACTTAGGCTGTAGGTAACAAATTGGCGTGGTACGGTAATGGTCCTGGATTCGAATTTGACCGGGACATTTTTTTTTCAAACTGGAAATATTCCGTTTCAAAAAAAAATTGTCGGCTGTTTATTTGTCTGCTTATGTTTTGTCGGCCTACTTGCCTAATCGTAGAAAAGTTTTTTCTTGCTATGCGCAATTTATATTGTAGTTATCGTAGTGTTTTGATATAGTTCTGCTGTTTGTAGTTTCTTGACTTGTATATTTTCTATTTTTTCTGCTAAATGTCATTTTTTTCTGTCCAAAGGATTTCGGCTTATATTTTATCGGCTTAGTGGCACAACTTTTTTTCGGCGGTTTTGTTTTTTCTTCTCCTTTTTTTGGCCTTATTGGTTTCGGCCTTTTATTATATCGGCTTAGTGGCCGCATATTGCGTCTGTCGACGAGCGAATAAAGTTTGTGCGTGTCTGTGTTTTGAAGTTGAAAGGGACTTGATAATTTTTTTAATCCTTTTAATTTTTTGAGTTTATATTTGGGCTTTTCCTTTTTTTCGTTTTATTTGGTTTCAGATTTCACTGTATCAGCTTAGTGGCTTTCTATTGGTCCAGTTGACAAGCAAATAAAGTTTTTTGTTTGGGTGTGTTGAGGGCGAGGAGGACTTGTTAACTTTGTCTATGTCTTAATTCTCGTTGATTTTTTTTCGGCTCAAAGGGTTTCTGCTAAGGTATTTCCGGCTTTGTTATCGCTTGGTAAATTTTCTTCCGATGCCAATTTTGCTTTTTAATTTCTTGTATGCTTGCTGTATCGCAAGTTGTGCCAAGCTCAGCTTCACTTGTTTAGATTGTTATCTGCTGATTTTTTGTCGGCTTAATTCGCCTGAAAGGACTTTTTTTGATTTTTCGTCTTCTTTCTATTATTCCGAAAGCACCTTGTGTAATTTCCAATGGTTCAGCTAATTTTCTTTCGGATATTTAGGCTTCTGTTGCAATTTTAAATGCCAAAAACGAGGTTTTGATTTTTTTTCACTATTTTTTTTATTCGTTTGTGGTTTTTGATAGCCATTCAATTTTGTATCGCAAATAGTTCAAAGATCAGTTTAACCTGTGTGTACAATTTTACGACGGTAGTTGCATTCAGCCTGCTGTATGCAAAAGTTTTTTTTAAACGATCATTTTTTGGTTCCAAACGATCATTTTCTGAGGAGTGGGTCAGGCGCGCGGCACTTAACAGGGATGTCGTGGGTTCGAGTCATAGTTAGATAACGTTTGGAGATGTCCCAATGTCTTCCATTTCCTCTTAACATACATCACCATTTTTATAACAAAACCGCGCAAACATTCCACAACTGTTAAAGATCCTGAAACATCTAAAGGATATAGGCCCATTGCACTGCTGTCTCCCATGGCTTAACTAGTAGAAAAGTACTGCTAACCGAACTGAACCAGATCCTTGAACTGGCTAGTCATCAGCAAGGCTTCAGAAAACACGGTCGACAGTTACGGCTTTAAATTGCACCAGCCACTAAATAACTGAAGGCCTTAACAAAATGAAACCGTCATAGAACGCTACTTGTTGCTTTAGACCTAAACGTCGCAATTGATGCGGTTAACCACCAGGTTTTTGTTTACTGATCGATGGATGCTCTCATATTTACAAGGCTGCGTAGTGTGCGTCGATTTTATAAATCTGGCGTCACGGTAACGTAAATTGAATTAAGAAGTCCCACAAAACCTTTATGCGCTCCATGCAATTACCTAGTGAAAACATTACATTACTCACCTATGCAGATGATCTTACCCTTCTTACATCGGGGCCCAATGCATCGGTACTGCAAATCCCCCTGAGCGCATGCAAGGAACAACTACTGAAATGGCTCCTAGCTCTCAATCTTAATCGAGATCTAAATCTATCCCTTGATGATAAATCTATGGCCACATTATTTATTTAACACATGGTCTGCTAAAACAAATTCTGAATTTAAGGTTGATATTGGCCTATTTGCCTGAAACATTCTTAAGTCTTGTGTGCCATAATTGACAAAAAGCTGATTATTGTTCTCTATTTAATGATGCTCAATGTCATGTTGTATTTCAGGTTTATGTTGTGTAGTTTTTGATTGTAAGAAAGTTTCTGTGAACCCGCGTTTCATCACTCCGTCAACACGCTAGATACAAAACAAACAACATGTTCCTACTTGCTGAAGCCATTACTACAAACCTTGTTCCATTGGACAATCCCAAAGGCCGAGCAAATGAACCATACACATAATAAACAGGGTCTTAAGTCTCCATAAAAAACAGTTGAAGATTGCATCGCTAACCACCGTAAAAAAGTATGCAACTCACTTCCACCTGAAATAGAAGATAGTGGGAATAGGCTCGATCGTGAGGTCAAGTGCAAACTTGCTCAGCTTCGATCAGTATAATCTCCCTGCTGGATAATTACCGGAGTCTTACACCCTAAAATCTCTTGTGTCTGCGAAATCTGCAGTCAAGGCCATTGTAATTTCAATCACTTGTTTAATCGTCTAGGCAGACCGACAGATCTAGATATCGTCAGTCTCTGGATTGGCCCCTCCGTGAAGCTGAATCTCTTCAGCTCAAATAGTACAATGGAGCGGTGAGCTAAACTTCTTCAAAGAGATGATTAGCGTGCCGAAGGCTGCTGGCCTCTAAAGAACGTAAATTGAAAGACTTATTTAGATGAAATCTAGTGTCAAAATGGCCTTGAAGTAACCCACAAATGTTTTATGCCCTAAGTATCCCGTCGGGGGGCAACGAGAGTGGACTATGGACGAGATGAGGCCACCACCAACAAAACTTCATCTCCTCCGGTGATAAATGATTGGAAAAAAAAACTGCTGACTTTGAAGGAGACAAGGCCACAAATTCCTCGATAGCCGTTTACTTTGCAAGTAGCACAATGTTGCGACCAGTCTTTTGAAAAGTTACAACGTTTTTTTTTTTCATTTTAGTGCTGTTTTTTCTGCGTCGTGTGATAAAATGATCTGACGCAAAACTATAATTTAGGCATTATGGACAGGCATAGTAATATAGGCGAATTGGACAAAAATTTACTAGTTAAACAAAAAATATCAAATTTTTTTTTTGAAAATTGCATTTTTTTTCAAAACTTTTTTTGCAGAAAGTTTTGGTACCAAAAATGGAGCATGAAAATCCAGGAATTAATTGTACTTGCTGGAAACTAAGTTTTCAGGTCTTAAATTAAGCATAAATAAGCTGTTGTAAGCGTGCTCGCTCGCTTTATTCGATCGAAATTGAAATGAAAATTGAAAATTTCAAGCCAGTTTTCTCAATACTGAGAAATCTCTTTGAAAATTTTCTTTCGTTGAAATCACGACTGGAAGGTTTTGTATATCACTGGACTCATTCCTATAATCATTGTTGTACCTGATTGTGCGTGTAAAGCAAAAAAAGTTAAACACGCGAATACAAAGTCTTGCAGTGAGTAGGACCTGGGTCTTTGAAACAGACGATAATTGACAAAATAAACAATGCACTGCCCGAAAAGATGCTACAACAACACGCATTCACAAGCTTGCTTCTGAAATTAATGAAAAAGCAAATACAGAAAATGAATAGATACGTAAAGCTTCAATTTTAGGCGCTCTTGAACACTTATTTTTGACGCTCTTATGCTTCGTTGCTCTGGAAGTCCCTTGATTTGGTTTCAGAATTCGTTTTTGCTTTTTGGTACCATTGGTATAAAATAAACTTCTACAGTACTGTGTATGCAAATCGGCTTAATTTGAACCAGATTGTCAATTGTAAATTAATAGTTCAATTATAAGTTTTGTAAATTTTAATCAGCTTTTTTGTTATATAAGAATTATATGTAAAAATTTAATATAAAAGAAGTTTAATTTTGTTCTTCCAGCGTTAATGATTACATTAACTGTTTGACAAAACGGAATTTTTCAGTGCGAGTTTTGCCTTTGTGTTGAAAAACTGTTTGTGTTGAAAAACTTCAACAATGCACTCAATTGTTGAAAAAACAATTGAGTGCATTGAAATAATAGGCTAGTTGCGCAGAATTTCCCACAGCACCGTCGCTGAATATTCGGACGCTGATTTTTGTAATTATAATTGTATTGTAATTGTACTATCGTTTGTCTTCTTATGTTTTTGGGCTTGACTTCCAAAGCTTCGATTTTTTCTTACAAAGCATCAATTTTCTTTGTAAGCTTTTTCAACTAATGGTTTTTGTGAAATTTGTAAGTTAACTCTGTTTCTTTGCAACTGTTTTTTTTTGCTTGAATAGTGTTCGGCACATGCTATCGACTTTTCAACCACATTTGCCTCAGTTTGATTGGAAGAATAGATATTTTTAAGTTTCCGTGATTCAGAAGAAATGAGGCGTAAAAACTTTCCAAATTTCAGTGTTTATCTCAAAATTCCCATGATATATTGTATTCTGCTCAATCAATGTCTACCCAAGTTTTTTCGGCTTATTTTTCGGTCGGGTAATGATTTCTATTGACGTTACTGTTGTGTCTAGGCATGTTTTCCTCAATTTTATCATCATTTGGGTCGAATAGGTGGAAAATGATTTAAAAATCGAGGAATACTTATATCGGAATTGCAGTCTGTTTTTTTTTCTAGTCTGAAAATTAGCCTGAAAACGGAAAAAGCTTTTCTTGTAACGGAGACATATTTTTTCGATATTGAGATGAATCTCAATCAGATTTGAAAGGGCTTTTATATGATACTAATCGATACTTTTTTGAGGAAAAAAAAATACTTTTTTGAGGAAGTGAAAATCGGAAAAAAACAGGATAATCCATGGATGCTTCACTTGGTAAAGTGGTCGGAACTATAAAGAGCATTATTTTATCGAAACTAAATTTTAGCTGAACGTGCTGCTGTATCACCAGGATTCCCCATACATCCGAGGCATTGGTCTGCTCTACATCAGATACACACAATCACCTGAAGATTTGTTCACTTGGCTTAAACCTTTTCTCGACGACGAAGAGGTGAAATGTTTCTAATGCTATCCATATAAAAAAGGGTAATCTGAAAAACTACATAATATTTGGTGTCATTGTAACAGAAAATACTTTTTTTGTTTTACAGATTTTTTTGTGATTTTCTAACAGCATACCTCAATTAGTAGCTTGCTTCAGGTAGTTTTTGGTCGGCTTAAATATTTGTCTGTTAATTTAGGAGATAGATGTGAAATCTGGAGGTGGTGAAGTTATAACTATTGGTGAAATGGCGCGAAGACTACTGCGAAAATTAGACTGGTACGCCACCATGTTTCCAAGAATTCCAGTTAAATTTGCGAAAGAAATAGACGAGAAACTGAAAAACTACAAACTGAAGATGGCCGCTGCTCAAGTGGAGACGAAGCAAGCACAAGACAGTGCAGCAGTATTCGAACCCTCTGGCAAATCTTACGACCAGATGATGTCTAAACATATCGAAGAGCAGGAGCGATCGAAGGACTCTTCGAGGTACGTAAGGAAGGTAACATAACACTCCTCTCACGTTTTCTTACCCAATTTTCTTTGCAGTATATTTGGGGTAATTTTTGATGAACATTTAAGCTCGAGCAAAAAGAAAGACATCGATGAGAAGAAGCGTACGAGAAGCAAGAGCAGGTCGCAAAGCAGGGACAAAAAGAAGAAATCTTCGTCTGGTAAAAACAAACACAGGTCCAGATCGCGAGAAAAGAGTAAACATAGATCTCGTTCTAGGTCTAGGTCGCGCCAGAAGAAGCGCTCCAGTAAAGAGAGGGGTTCAGCCAAAGACCAGGAAGTGAAGAAGAAAAAATCAAGTCAGAGCAAATCAGATGGGAAGAGGAAGTCCTCAAGATCCAGGAGTAGACATCGTTCCAACTCTGCCAAGAAAAAGAGTGGCCGGTAAGACAATCGCGCGATGTTGTAGTTCTTATGAGACACTTGTTTGCTTCTTTTTCTATTCAAGAAGTTTTAAGTTTGCTTTTATTTCTATTCAAGAAGTTTTAAGTTTGCTTCTTTTTCTATTCAAGAAGTTTTAAGTTTGCTTCTTTTTCTATTCAAGAAGTTTTAAGTTTGCTGCTTTTTCTATCCAAGAAGTTTTAAGTTTCAAACACGCGATAGTAGAGACTGGTGAAACAATTGAGTTTTGTTTTAGCTACTGCTTGAAGTATAAACAAGTTATAAACTACTTTATTTCGTATAAACATTAACTTTTTTCGCCTCGGATAAAATTTAATTTGAAGGTATTGTTTAAACATGATTAGTTTTCAGGGAAAAGAAGAGATCCAGATCGCGGGAACACAAGAAATCCGGCAAACACAAAAGCAAAAAGAGCCGCAAGTCTTCTCGTTCGAAGTCACAGGAGAAATCGAAGGATTCGGAGAAGAAAAGCGAAAAAGATACAAAGAATGCACCCGAAAAAATAGACGAAAAGAAGGTGGGCGAAGAGAAATGTATATCAGAGGGAGCAGTAGCGGTTGAAAGAGACAATGAGGATAGCAATGAATGCAAAAAGGATAAATCTTTTGCGGAATCATCAGAAAACAATAAAGAACAACAAAGTAAAAACCCAGATGAAAAGGCCTCAGATTCCATGAAAGACTAGAACATTTTTTGCTTTTTTACTGTTCGTCCTGAATGATTTTTCTCTTCAATGTCCTTTGTTTTAGTAATTTATTTTTATTAAGTATCTAATAATTTGTGAGCAGAATAGTTTGAATAGTCTATTTTACCGAGCCAATTGTGATTGCAAGCTAGAGGCAACTTTCTAAATAGTTTTGACTCCTACTTTTTAATGTGTTGTTAAATCAAAAGTGGCGCTGGCGTTGATGTCGAATGTGTGATGAAAGAGTTGACATCCGAAAGGTAGATTTATCCAATGGTATAAGCTTTCAGATTTATATTTAGGCTTCATTTTTTTTGTTTTTGCCCAATGTAAAAATATATGAGCTTCGGTTTATGCAAAATATTTCAATAAGGTATTAAAATTTCTTTAATACCTTATTGAGCTTAGTTACTGATTTTAAATTGCTTTTACTGCAACTTTTTTTCCGTAAAAAACTTTGTTCAGATTTCGGCACGTGAAGGGATTTTGTTTGAAGTTTTCGTTGATTTTCCAATTTATCTGAATGTCTGTATTTTAAGAGTCGATGAACGTAGTTAAGACTATAATTTAGGTCGTAATGTTTTTTTCAGGAAGTCTTAAAATTGTTCAGGCTCAATTTTCTCGCAGTTTGACTTGACTTGTCAAACCGTGAGGTAATCGAAATGAATATGAAGATCAACTCCAGACAAAGCTCCTTTTAAGAGTCGATGGTTGTTATTGAAGACGCTTAAGTAGGTCGTGAGGATTTTTTTCAGGTTAGTCAGTAGGTTTTCAGTAGTAATTTTTTCACTCTAATTTGATGTTTCGAGGTTTGTCTTATTAAGTTCAGGTAATTTCCTTTTTATTCCGCTGGGAAGAAAGCTAAATTCCACTTTCGAACTAGAAATGAACCACGTTCTTGACATTCACTTTTTTTTCTGTTGATTAATGATCAGCTAAAGTGTGAAAGTCACGAAAAACTTATTTCATTTCTAATTTGGAAAATAAAGTTTTCTTCTCAGCGGAAGTGGGTAATATTAGTCAAAAACGTGTCAATAGTAAATTGTTCTGTAAATTCGGCTTTAAATGCGTCTTTTTTGAAATTTGAGATTTTTTCAAAAAATAATTCTTTTTTTGTTTGTTTACTTGCGTTTTTTGACTCTTTTCCAAATGTCGGTTGGCTACATTTTATCTTTTCAAAACGTTTTTTAAAATGTATTGTAAGTGGTGCGAAGCTCAGCATCATCTCTATGTGAAATAATGAAAGTTCATGAGTATATCCAGTATTTTAGCGTTAATGTGTTTTAAAGTCTTATGGGAATATTTGACCAAAATTTTGAAGTTTTCTTTTTTTTTTAATACGACTCACAAATATGAGATTTTGAGTTCATTGATTAGAACGGTTTCTCAGAAATTTTCTGCATATGCGGCTAAGCATGATTTTTCTTACAACATTTTATGGCCGTCAGAAATGTCATTTTTTTTTGCTTTTTTGACCGTTGTTTGAACTTTTGTCTTTTCTCGAAAGCTGCCGTCTAAAGTCTAAATTTGGGTTCAATGGAATCAATGGGTTGTGGGAAGTTGCCCTGAATAATCGACTTTAACCAATTGTTTTCAAAATTACCCTCCCATGTCTCGAGTTCTTGCGTTCAATCGAAACAACACGTGTGAATCTCTTCACACAAAAATATGGCCCGCGAAAAAATTTGTATTTGGTTTTTGTATCAATTTAAATTTTTTTTTGAATTTTCTCGAAAACTACCCAGCTAATTCTAAGGTTAATTGATCAATCCTAAAACCCGATTTTTGGTATAATCTCTGCCTGAGCAGCCACGTCTTTCTTTTGCATAAAAGTGTGTGGGCTTCGGAAATTCAAGTTTTTGAACGTTTGACCTTTTTTGAGAATTTTTCTTACTTTTCTTAGAAACTACCAAGCAATCTGAGATGAAGGGTTCAATCGATCTACTTGCAATACTTTTTCCCACTGAAACTGTGATTCCTCAGTTTTTATAAGAAAATTGTGACTGCTGTTTTGGGCAATATCCAATTTTTGAAATTTCCCATTTTGGTAAGCATCAGTATTACAAATTCCAAAAATATCAAACAGTTATCTCTAGCTTTAGCTGGGCCCCTATTTATCGCTTATCGCAATTTTCGAACAATTTGGTTCACATATTCTCACAGTTTTCAGATTTTTTGCTCTCTTATTTTTATGTTCGTGTTGTATCGCAAGTTGTGCGAAGCTCCGCTTCGCTTCTGTGTTGAAAGTGTTTTGTCATTGTTTCATGTATTTTGAACTTCTTAAAATTGCGAGAGCAAGTGTCTTGTAATCGGGAACTAGACTTTTCCCGTAAACAAATTTTCTTACACATTTGTAATGGAAGTTGATATTGCTTTATTATCGAAATTCAGGTACCATCACACTTGATCTGGAGTTAATGAAGTTGTCTTTTAAACCTTATGTCAGGGATTCGTGTCCCAGTCGGATCCTGTTTTTTCAGCGTCTGAAATTGAAATGTTTTCCGAGAAAAATTGTTTAGTCGGATTTAAGTTTGTTGGCTCATGATTTGTCGGTTTAGTTGCCGCCCAAAATTTCTTTTGCACTGTGATAATCAGTTTCAATTGTAGTCTCAAGTGTCGTTGATTATCTGTTGTAGTTTTGTAAAATAACTATACCTGACTGGTATATTTTCCATTTTTTGGGGGGTTTTTTTCCTTTCGCCTGAAAATTTTGTTCAGCCTAATTGATTTCGGCTCTTGTTTTGTCGGTATAGTGAATTTATTTTGCATTGGTATAATGATAAAAAATGATGATTCTTTTTTTAATAAATCAGGTCGGCTGATAGTATAAAGCTTAACAGTTCCACTTTTTTGATCGCTCAAAATTGTTTTATGACAATAATTTCGTATAATATTTTTTTTGTTTTTGGTTTATTTGGCGGCTGACAACGAGTTGTTGTCTTAGTGAACGGTTGAAAAATTCTAGATGCTTGCTTAATGCTAGTTGTCGTGTTTCTCGTCGGTTTATATGAGATTGGATTTTTTGTATTTCCAAAAATATGTTGAATTTTGTTATCACAACCATTTCCTTTAGTATTTTTGTTGTGGATCTGTTTGCGTCTATCCACTTGTAATGACCCAGTAGACACTCAAAAAACATGCTTAAAGCTGTTTATTGTGTTTCTCGTCTGTTATTCTGAAATTGAATTTTTCGTATTTTCAAAAAAAAATTGTTGATTTTTTTCACTCGTTTTCTTTGTTGTTTTTGTTTTCGGATCAATTGGCGTCTAAACACGTATTGTTGGCTTGGTAGTCACTCGGAAAAAAATTAGAAACTTGCTTAATGATGTTGGTCGTTTTTCTCGTAGTTTTTTCTGATATTGGATTTTTGGTATTTCCAAAAACATGTTGAATTTAGTTATGACAATATTTTCCTTTGGTATTTTTGTTTTCGGACCTATTTGCGTCTAAACACGTGTTGTCGCTCCGTGGACACTCAAGAAATACTAAAAACGTGCTCGATGCTAGTTTTTATGTTTCTCGTTTTTTTTTCTTAGATGGAATTTTTCGTATTTCCAAAAAAAGTTAATGATTTTTTTGACAATCACTTCTTTGGCATTTTTGTTTTCTGTTTAATTGGCGTCTAACCAGGTGTTGTGGCTTAGTGTATACTCGATAATTACTAAAACTTTGTTTAATTCTGGATGTTGTGTTTCTCGTCTGTTTTTCTGAGATTGAATTTTTCGTATTTCCAAAAAAAAATAGTTGATTTTTTTGACAATGGTTTCCTTTGGTATTTTTGCTTTCTGTTGGTTATTTGGTTTTGCTGAATTGACTTCTAACTACGTGTTGTGGCTTAGTGGACACTCAAGAAATACTAAAAATTAGCTTGATGCTAGTTTTTGTGTTTCTCGTTTGTTTTTCTGAGTTATTTTTTGACCTCATTTCCTTGTTGTTTTTGTTTTTGGATCAGTTGGCGTCTAACCACGAATTGTTTGCCTAGTCGTCGCTCAAAAATTACTAAAATCTTGCTCAAAGCTGGTGATTATGTTTCTCATCTGTTTTTTTTTTGTGATTGAATTTGTTGTAATTCCAGTTTTTTTAATTTTTTTTCCACTTAGTTGTTTTCATCTCACTGACTTTTGACAATATTTATTTCGATTTTTGTTAAAAGTATTACTCGGATCTAGAGAGAATGATCAGAGCTACCCTCTATGAAACTATCAGTGTTTGATTTTAAAGACTTTCTAATGTAATCCGGGCCTGAAAAGGCCAGATTTCCTCATATGGACTAAGTTTTACATCGTAGTGAATTCATTCTCGAACAAGCGGAGAAAAAGCAGTTGTTCATGCGATGTGAAACAATCTCAACGAGACAATTGAAATAATCAGTGTGAGAATTTGAATTTCCATTTACTTTTGTCCACTAGTGTAGTTTCATTACATGGTGCTTTCTCTTCCACGAAATGAAAGAGCAGAAAAAATCATTTTCTCTTATTTTCTTTTCCGTTTCTTTTATTTCACAACTTTTCAGACTGAACTTTTTTGTTGAGTGAAGCTCGTTTTTTGCGAATCAAGGTCGTTTTTTGCTTCTAGTAGAATTTTTATGTGGTACCACTATTGCAGCCGAAATCTTGGATCTGTGTAAAGAATAATTTTTCTCAGGTTCTTAATGTGGTTCTCAATGTGGAGGCTGTCAATTTTCTATTAGAATGTTTTAATTATCTACTGTTTCTGGGGTCTTAGGGCTAATTGAGCGAATCAACTTCAAATAGACTTATTCATCATCTTCACACTCAACTGTTTCAACCATGCGTAGCGTGAGCATATCTTTCTGTTATAATACATTTGTTCGGATCAAATTATGAATGTCTTACATCCACTTGGAGTTCAGACTGGATCCGAGCAATTTTCAAAACCTTTTTCAGCTTCTGGCAGGAGATGCGATGGTTTTTAAGTTGCGGGTTCGAATCCGAATGTGTGCGTTTGTTTTTCGTCAAAGCGTTTTTGTAGCTGATTTATGCAATTAGTTGGCGCTTATGTACCTTTGTGTATACTGGAGAAAAAGTAACGCAACCAAGCATTTTTCAAAACTCAAAATGAAA